AAATTTAACGAGAAATAACTCCAAAGCGGCACAAGAATCCACATCATAGTCGAAAGGATTACATTCCTTGTAGTTTTCTGGTTCCAAGGGCAAATTTTTAGACCGGATGCTCTATCAGTGTAGATCGCAGTGACAAATACAGGGTTAGTCACGAGAGAATTACTTCTGAAAATTATTTTTACTCAACCCAAAATACTAATACCCTGTACCACTTGATATTATCTAAATTTAAAATGAAATGCCTAATCCATTATTGCTTTGACTTTGGAAGTGTCACTTTGACGTTAATTAATTTTTAACAATTTTTTTCATCGTTGACTCTCCTCTAGAGCCCCATTGGATCGACGACATACAGTCAGATCAATCTGGGCTATACTGAAGCCGTAAGTGCTCTACCAATGTTGTCCCCCGCTAATGTGCATGTGTTAATTCGCCATCTCTGCGTCACCTAGAGCCTCTTCGAAGTGCAAATTTGCAACCTTCGGACTTCTTCGGCCATCCATTTACAAAATTGCCGTAGCATCCCCCCAAAATGCCCAACATTTTCAACAGATTAGTAGTTAAATTATTTACTTACTTGTTTGAGTTTGTGTTGTAACCTTTGAATAAAATGCCGTAAAAGGAATTTTTAGAAATAATTTTCTCGTGATTAATCGGTTGCAAAAGATCAAGAGGCACACTGACAAATTTATTAGCGGCGCCGGAGATTTCCGACTGGCTGCGGTACTACCATGGACACTCGCGTAACCTCCTTTTCCACAATTGTCAAAATGAGATTGTCAAACTCAAAGCAATCATGGATTAAGCATTTCATTTTAAATTCAGTTAGTATCAAATGGTACATGGTATTCGTATTTTGGGTTGCGTAAAAATAATTTTCAGAAGTAATTCTCTCGTGACTAACCCTGTATATAGGAAGATATCATTTTTGAGTTAAAGAGAGGTTTTTTCCAAATTTAGTGAAATATAACTCACAAACGACCCTAGAATCAGCGTTTCGGTTTAGAGCATTCGATTTCTTGAAGTTTTCTAGTTCTAGAGGCTAATTTTCAGACCGAATACTCTATCTGTTTAGGTCGCAGAGATAAATATATAGGAAGATGTCAAGATTTTTTTTTAATTCAAAGAGAAATTACTCCCAAACGATTCAAGAAATCACATTATGGTTTGAAACGCTCCATCCCTTGAGTTTTCTAGTTCTAGACACTAATTTTTAGACCGAACACTGTAGTCGTTTAGATCGCAAACATAAATGTGTAGGAAGATGTTATTTTTGAATAAAAAATTGGCTATTTTCAAATTTAACGAGAAATAACTCTAAAACGGCACAAGAATCGGCCTTGTAATTCAAAGCATTAGATTCCTTGAAGTTTTTTAGTTATAGAAGTAAATTTTCAGACCGGATACTCTATTCGTTTAGATAGCAGAAACAAATATATAGGAAGATGTCATTTTTGAACTGAAAACAGGCATTTTTCAAATTTAACGAGAAATAACTCCATAACCGCTTAAAAATCCACATCATGGTTTCAAGCACTCGATTCCTTGAAGTTTTATAGTTCTAAGGGCGAATTTTCAGATCGGATACTCAATCTGTTTAGATCGCAGGCAGCAATTTGTAGGAAGATGTCATTTTTAAGTCAAAAACAGACTTTTTTCAAAATTAACGAGAAATAACTCCAAAAAGGGCCAAGAATCCAGATCATGGTCGAAAGCATTACATTCCTTGTGGTTTTCTAGTTTCAGAGGCAAATTTTTAGACCGGATGCTCTATCAATGTAGATCGCAGGGACGAATATATATAGGAAGATATCATTTTTCAGTTAAAAAGAGGTTTTTTTTCAAATTTAATGAGATATAACTCACAAACGACCCAAGAAACAGCGTTTCGGTTTGAAGCATTCAATTTCTTGAAGTTTTCTACTCCCAGGGGCGAATTTTCAGATCAGATACTCTATCTGTTTAGGTCGCAGAGATAAAATATATAGGAAGATATCAAGATTTTTTTTAATTCAAGGAGAAATTACTCCCAAACGACTCAAGAAGTCACATTGTAGTTTGAAACGCTCCATCCCTTGAGTTTTCTAGTCCTAGAAACTAATTTTCAGACCGAACACTGTAGTTGTTTAGATCGCAAACACAAAAGGATAGGAAGATGTTATTTTTGAATAAAAAATTGGATATTTTCAATTTTAACGAGAAATAACTCTAAAACGGCAGAGGAATCGGCATTGCAATTTCAAGCATTAGATTCCTTGAAGTTTTCTAGTTATAGAAGTAAATTTTCAGACCAAATACTCTATTCGTTTAGATAGCAGAGACAAATATATAGGAAGATGTCGTTTTTGAACCGAAAACAGGCATTTTTCAAATTTAACGAGAAATAACTCCAAAACCGCATAAAAATCCACATCATGGTTTCAAGCACTCGATTCCATGAAGTTTTCTAGTTCTAAGGGCTAATTTTCAGATCGGACACTCAATCTGTTTAGATCGCAAGCAGCAATTTGTAGGAAGATGTCATTTTTAAGTTAAAAACAAACTTTCTTCAAAATTAACGAGAAATAACTCCAAAAAGGGACAAGAATCCAGATCATGGTCGAAAGCATTAGATTCCTTGTGGTTTTCTAGTTTCAGAGGCAAATTTTTAGACCGGATGCTCTATCAGTGTAGATCGCAGAGACGAATATATAGGAAGATATCCTTTTTCAGTTAAAAAGAGTTTTTTTTTTTTTCAAATTTAATGAGATATACCTCACCAACGACCCAAAAAACAGCGTTTCGGTTTGAAGCATTCAATTTCTTGAAGTTTTCTAGTCCTAGGGGCGAATTTTCCGATCGGTTACTCTATCTGTTTAGGTCGCAGAGACAAATATATACGAAGATATCATTTTTGGAGTTTTAACTCCTTTCTTGTCGTAATATAGAACACGTATGTTGCTGGAATAGGAATGTCGAGTTCCAGCCACGAGCTTGGTGTCGGTATCGGTGTCGGTGTCGGTGTCGGTATTGGACAGATAAATATAAAAAGATGTTTTTTGAGAGCTAAGAAGTCATATTCTGGAAAATGGTACAAATTTTCGAAGAAATTTAGTTCAAGGCAAAAAGTATTAAAAAAGTGACTTTTTAAAATGTTGTCTAATAATAATCCACAAAAAATTGAGAGAAGTATATCTCGACGTATTGATTAAAAAAATAAGTATAATTTGTTTATTACCCGCAGCAAGATTTTAGAAATATTCAGTCTGAACTGACTGATTTAGGACCATCCGACTTTAATATCGACAACTTGTTTGTTTTGCGATATAGAACGAAAGCCTTCAATAACCTGTCAAACTTTTAAATCCTGCGTCTAAACGACGTCAACCCGTCACTAATTTAGGTTTCTATAATCCTCCCCCAATCCGCACTTTTCTCCCATTCCATAAATCCGGACCTCTCCAACGAATCTCTAACACGACAAGTACCCAACAAAGCTCCCGAAATCTGAGCCCGAGATTATTTAGGATCGCCCCTTTTGATCTTTCGCTCCTCATCTCGTCTTTGTGTAGTTTCCATCTCACCTTAAACTTGAAACGAATATCTTAAAATAACATTATTTATACCCGAAACGAGTCCACCCGGCCGGATTTAAATGGAATTTTAAATAAGAAAACGTCGCATTTTACAGCCGTCGATTCAAAAACAGCACAATTTTCGCTCCTCGATGCATTATTCATGGTAACAAAGTAGTGCCAAACTTAATCTATTCTCTTCAGATAAAACAATCGTGCCGGTTTTAGTGTTATAGTTTGTAGTTCAAGCGTGCGCAAATGGGGCATTTCTTGCAGGTGTTGCTAACGGAAGAACAACAAAAAGGGGTAAATCTGAAATCGATACGCCAAGTGGCTTTGGCGGGCGATTTTTTTAATGGGGAGGAAAAACGTGATGGCACAGGGTGTTGGGGTGATGCATGAGCTCGGGCTGAGTAATCTTGTTATTTTGTCGTTTGGTAAATAAACTGGGGAATTATTTAGGTCGTGGGTTATTAGAGTGTGAATTATGGACAGGTCGTGACGATGGCTTAAAAAATTGACTTTTAATTTGAAAATAATTTCATGAATAAGACAATTCGACCGACAAATTCGTTGTTAATGGTTTCGGGAAAAGTGCAATCAGAGATTGTTCTAGAAGATAAAACCGACTTTGAAATTAATTATTCATCCCTTTTAGAAAGTTAATGACATGTCAAATTATTGAATAAATGTGTACTAAAAATGATGCCTCAGGAATTTGAGTAATAAACCAATTTATGTCTTCGATGTATACAATACTATTTACAACCATGAAATCTTGGTTGTTGGTGCATTCAAACTACGTTAAAATGTAATTCCGTCTTTTTTTAAATCATTGATACAGGTGAAGAGTCTATTTAGTGACTATACAATTCATATAAATGAAAAAACCCCAGAAATTTTGGCATTTTAAAAAGTACGTGTAATGTTGGTTGCCTATCCTGCAATGTCTTCAACACCAACAATAACAACAAATAAAACAATTGCAGCGATTTCTCTTCACTGTTCTCTCACTCGTAAACATCAAGTACATCAGTACGTCCAAATCCAGCTAAAAACCATTATTCGGCCACAACAAGTCTCCTAATTACCATAAAAATGCCGGCACTTGTAAGTGTTCGGGCACCGAGACGGCTTCAGGAACACATTATTGACACAATTTTGGCAACATTATCACAAAAGAAACACATTTATCTCCATTTATCACCAATTTGCATTGCAAATAATCCAAAAAAAGGATTACCGACATTTACTATGACTCACAATTCTTGTCACTTTTTACCATGGTGGGACACCTAGACCTTTCATAGCGCCTTCGTATTATCAAAAAGCAAGTAGATAGTAACTAGCAAGGTAAATATACTGGCAGCACCTAATCACAGACCTCATAATTTTATCTCCGTTATCAATATTACTTTCCTATTTTTACACCTTAGTAATAGGTACCTGTCGGTTACATTTTACATGTCTTTGACTTAGTTTACGGCCAGCGAGCGACTCGAGAGTAATTTTTTTCCGTTATTTATTATTTCCAGTGAGGCAATTTGCAGTGTGAGTAAGCGGTTGAGACAGAAGCTGGAATTTTTTCCAAGTGTCACGTGTAAGTTGTATGTTGATAAATTACCTAACACGTTATTATTGTTAGAGCTGACTTGGTAATTTCTGATGATAATTACATTATTCGAGCGGAATAGTGATTTGAGGGGGGCTTGCACGCAGCGGGGCGATGTTAAGTCAAGCAATTTTTTTGAGAATGTAATATCGACCAAACACGTGTTATTAATTGGCTTTCATTTCTATGATAGTGGGCAAAGTTCGGTCAATTTTCAGTTAAAATTGCACTAAATATGAATTGCAAATGTACTCGACGATGACTGCATTATCGCAGTGGTTTTTAAGTTATTGTTTTTGAGTTATTAAACCGAATTAATACCAGGCGGATTTTTGTAACATTCCAACAAAAAAATATTATGTTAAAATAAAACAATTCGGAAAACTATTTTTTTTCTCGATTTTTGGTTTTTCAATCTTTCAATTTTTCGTTGCTTCAGTCTTTCGATTTTTCAATTTTTTCCGATCTTTTAGTTTGTGGATTTCTCAATTTTTCAAAAATTTTCCAAAAAATGGTTAAAAATTAGTCCAGGCGACTGAAAATTGGTGTCAAATTGTAGATAATTTTCCGCCAGTTACAAATCGAAGTCACCTTCACAACATCTATTGTTATAAAGTAAAATATGATTCCAAAATTTTTAAAAATTTTCCAAAAAAATGGTTAAAATTGGTTCCATCGACTGAAAATTTGTGTCAAATTATAGATAACCTGCCGCTAGTTACAAATCTGAAATCACCTTCAGGATATCTGTTCTAAATAAACACGAAAACTGAGTTCAAAATTCTCAAAAATTTTACAAAAAAATTGTTAAAATTGGTTCCATCGACCGAAAATTGGTGTCAAATTGTAAGTAATCTTCCACCAGTTACAAATCCGAAATTGTCTCCACGGCGTGTGGTGTCAAAATTTTAAAAAAATTTCAAATTTCCAAAAAAAAAAATGGTCACAATTGGTTCAATCCACTGAAAATTTGTTTCAAATTGTAGATAACCTTCTACTAATTATAAATCTGAAACCTCCATCGCGATATCTATTGAAATAAATACGAGAAGTAATTTCAAAATTTTCAAAAAAAAATTGTTAAAATTGGTTTATTCGGCCGAAAATTGCTGTCGAATTTTAGATAATCTTCCACTAGTTACAAATCTGAAATCGCCGTCAGGATATCTGTCCAATAAACACGAAAAGTGAGCTCAAAATTTTTAAAAATTTCCAAAAATAGGGTTAAAATTCAAAAATAAAATAAAATAAGTTGACAACTACTTTAAATTTTAAAAAGTAACATTGTCTTGAAATTGTGGTTTAAGAATCGGAGTTGAATTTTTATCCCCGACATTGAGATTTTTCGATTTTTCGACTTTTCGATTTTTTGCTTTTTTTCAACTTTCGAATTTTCAGTTTTTCGAAATTTTAATTTGGGATTTTTCAGTTTATTAATTATTCAATTTTTGGATTTTACAATTTCTCAATTTTTTAATTTCTCGATTTTCAGTTTTTCTCCTCTTCAATTTTACGATTTTTAAAAATTTCGATTTTTCAATTTTTGACTTTTATAAACTCTCGATTTTTCAGGTTTTTTGGTCTTTCAATTATTCAAGGTTTCGATTTTTCAACTTCACTTTTTGATTTTTCGGTTTCTCAATTTTTTAATTTCTCAGTTTTTGAACATTTTGGGATTTTTGAATTTATTTATTATTCAAATTTTCAATTTTACAATTTCTCAATTCTTCAATTACACAATTTTCAATTTTTCGATTTCTCAATTTTCCGAAGTTTCAATTTTACGTTTTCCCAATTTTTCTCTTCAATCTTACGATTTTTAAATATTTCAATTTTTCGCTTTTTCAAATTTGACTTATAAACTCTCAGTTTTTCGATTTTTCATTTCTTCAATTCTTCAATTGTTCAATTTCAATTTAGGTTTTGGATTTTTCAATTTTTTCAATTTTTTAATTTCTCATTGTTGGATATTTCAGTTTTGAGATTTTCCAGTTCTTCTTTAATTTTTCAATTTTTCGAAATTTCAGCTTAGAGATTTTTCAGATTATTTATTATTCAACTTTTCGATTTTACAATTTTTCAATTTTTCAACTTCGATTTTCAATTTTACGATTTTTCAATTAATCGATGTTTTCCCATTTCTTGACTTTCAACTGTTTCTATTTTCCAGTTCATCAATTCTTCAATTTTTAGATTTTTCAGACAACTGATTTTGCAATTTTTCTAAGGTTTCGACATTTCGACTTCAATTTTTTTGATTTTTTGTTCTCTCAATTTTTCAGTATTTTAGATTCTGAGTTTTTGGATCTTTCAGTTTTTGCATATTTCAGTTTTTCTTTCATTTTCCATTTTTTCCATATTTCAGTTTTGGAATTATTCAATATTTCGATTCTTCGACTTCCCGATTTTTGACTCCTGGATTTTTCGATAAGTCGATTTTTTAATTTTTTTGATTTTCCAATTTTTAGATTTTTAAATTTCAGATTTTTCAATTTTTTGAGGTTTTAATTTTTCCATTTTTAAAATTTTAGATTTTTTGGTTTCCCGATTTTTCATTTCAGTTGTTAGATATTTCAGTTTTTCAAGTTTTCGAATTTTTCCCATGTTTTGATTTCTTAAACGTTCGATTTTTCGGCTTCCCAGTTTTAGAATTTCTGTTTTTCAGTTGTCGTTTTTTTAGACTTTTGATTTATCAATTAGTCGATGTTTTGATTTTCACAATTCTTGACTTTCGAGTGTTTCGGTTTTCCTGTTCGTCAATTCCTCAATTTTCCGCCTTCACTTTTTTGATTTTTCACTTTCACAGTTTTTCGATTGTTTAGGTTCTCAGTTTTTGGATATTTCAGTTTTTCTTTCATTTTTCAGTTTTTTGATATTTCAGTTTTAGGATTTTTCAATATTTCGATTCTTCGACTTTTCGATTTTTGAGTCCTTAATTTTTCGATGTGTCAATTTTTAAAATTTTAGATTTTTCGATTTCTTGATTTTTCATTTCAGTTTTTAGATTTTCTGTTTATCAATTATTCGTTTTCTCAAATTTTCGATTTTTTAATTTTTCATTTTTAAAATTTTTAGATTTTTCAATGTTTTGATTTCTTGATTTATCAAGATTTGATAGTTCAATTTTTCTATTTATCAGTTTTTCAACAATATATAGATATATTTATAGCTTTTCGATTTTTTATTTTGGTCTATTTTGGTTTCTCAGTTTTCCCATTCTTCCGTTTTTTTGGTTTTTTATTTTTCCGCGTTTCCGATTTTTCAACTTTTAACATTCTTTTTTTTCGATTTCTCAACATTTCAATTTTTCGAATTTTTAAATTTTTTGATTTCTCGATTTATCGAAATTTAGATTTATTGATGTTTTCATTGTCAATTCCTCGATTTATTAATTTTTCAATTTTTAACTTACTTTTCGATTTTTCGATTTTGGCTTATTTCGGTTTCTCAATTGTTCGACTTTTCGAATCCTCGATTTCCCGATCTTTTGATTTTTCGATTTTTTACTTTCCGGATTTTCGGATTTTCGATTTTCCAGTTTTTCAAAGTTTCGATTTTTCAGTTATCCTATTTTTCAATTTTTCGATTTTTAAATTGTGGAGTTTCGATTTCTCGATTTTTCATTTTTCAGTTTTTAAATTTTAGATTTTTGAATTTTACATTCCTTCGATATTCTGATGTTTCGATTTTTCGATTTTCAGTTCTTCGATATTTCCATTTTACCATTTTTCGGTTTTTCGATGTTTAGATTTTTTGATTTTTAAAATTTTTGATTATTTTAATTTTTCATTTTTAGTTCATAGGCGTAAGCAAAGGAAGGATTGTAATCGAGTCCGGCGGTCGACTCAATACTTTTACGTTTTTTCGACCTTTCATGACCCCTAGAGTACGAAGGAATAGGTTTCCCGTTTCCTCTATCTGTCCGTTTATCTGTCCGTCTGTCTGCCGTCACTATGTCAATTGTGATAATTTTGTTTTTAATCGTCGAGAGCAAAGGAGCGGAATTTAATTGCAAAAATATTTATTATTATGTACATATATTAAGAAAAAAATTATGACCAAAGATTAAGCCCCACCCATACTTGCCCTGATCTAAATAGTAGTCTAAACGTAGAATCCATTCTAAAAATAAAAAAATCAACACGATTGAGATGTTCTGAAAAGATAGCTATGTATATTAAGAAAAAAAAGGGCAAAATATAAGCCCCGCCCACCCACCCTATCTCAATTCTGCTGATCTTTTTAGTCGCCGTAAGCCGAGAGGCGGAGCTTAATTGTAAAATCCTTATTTTTCTACGAGAAATTACCATGAAGAAAGAAAAGACAAAGAAAACCTAATGTATTATTTAAAAAAGCCCCACCCATCCGTCTCGATGTCAATCGTGATGAATTTTTCATTCGTTGTCAGACCGAGGGGCGGAGCGTAATTCCAAATCGATATTTCCCTATACAAATTTACCCTTTGAAACATATTTTAAGTTTCTTGTTCTGAAAAGACGACTACGTATATTAAGAAAAAAGGCAAAATATGCATAATCCCCGCCCACCCACCCTACCTCAACTGTGATGATTTTTTTTTATCGTCGAGAGCCAAAGGAGCGGAATTTAATTCCAAAATCCTTATTACTTCTCTACAAGAAATTATCTAATTGTAGAATCCATATTTCGTTAGAAAAATTTACCATTTTAAATGTGTTTTAAGTTTCTATGAATAAAAAAGATCATCACAATTGAGATGGGGTGGGTGGGCGGGGTTAACATCTTTCCTTTTTTTCTCTTAATATACATAGTATTCTTTGAACAACACGATACCCAAAAACATGTTTTTAATTTCTTGTAAAGAAATAAGTATTTTGCAGTTAAGCTCCGCCCTCTTGATTCACAGCGAATAAAAAAAATTATCACAATTGACACAGGGCGGGTTACATTTTGCCTTTTTGTTTTAATACATTTAGACTTCTTTTCACAACATGAAACTTACAACAAGT